ACAAATAATTCTTTCATTTTCAACTGAAAAGCGTATAACTATATTAAGTACTAGATATTATGGAGTTAGGGGTACTCAAATAGATTTGGGTTGCAGTCAACATAATTGTCAGTGATACATAAGACATGGAAACGAATGATATCAGTGCTAATTTTCTCTGGTTGCCCGACAATAGCTACTTGTAGTCAATATCCACGTAATGTAATAAAATACTGGAATCTAATTGTTTGAGACAACAACCTATTTTTACCCGAGCGTTCTTTATCAGTGTGAATATTTTATATAAAAAATTACATATTAAGCTGCAATTTTCGTAGGACTGCAGCGAGTCAACGAGCCGCCATTACTCCGCCAATGCAAAGAAAATATCATTTTATTATCCTTTGTAAAAATAATTCCTTTCTGTAAAACACATTTAAATTTGGTACTCCGTATTTCGTTCACAATTCACCATTTAACAATGGAAATTAACAATGCAATATTTGGATTCTACAATTTTTATGTAAAATGAATGACTGCAATGAGTTTTATCAAATGTAGATTTTATATAAAAATAAAGAAAAATAAGTCTCTTTATTTTAAAAATATTTAGAAAAAATCGAATCAAAACTTCAATAACTTAACATTCATTGTTCGTTATACTTAGTTAACTACTTCACAACGCGATTTCTAATATCGTTTCAATTTTTCATTTATTTCACATTATTAGTCCTTGCCGTAGTACTTGTTCTGCGCGTGATATTGTTTAAGAAATCTTAATGTCAATTATCTCTGAAAAATGTATCTGTTATTATCTGTAATTATTGATGAATTTTGTTGACTAAAATTTTAGAGAAAATAAGTTCAATCATTTCCGAGAAATCATTAAATAAAAATGTTACTGTTAAGTAAAAAATTAAATTATTTGTTTAACGAGCAACAAATCTATTTGAAATTTAAATTTGTAAAATTTCGAATCTAATAATTTGAAACCCAATCTTTCTTAAAATAAAAAAAAATCGAAAATATTTGTAATATCTATAACAACAGAAAAAGAGTTGCACAAATTACAGTTGCTTTTTTTTAATTTCAGATTCATCAAAATTGTTAAGTCTCTTTTTTATTTATTTCACATTATTCTTATTGTTCTGCGCGTGAAGTTGAATACGATTTCTTTCCCAACCCCAAACCTAACGCTGAAAAGCAAAACAGCAAGGAAGTACGTAAAAACGGATAACGGTACTATATCGATTTCTGCTTGGACATGGGGCAAATCAGCACTGAATCTAAACTATGTTTCGCTTCGCCCAAGTGCGACATGCGGCAAATCTGCACCAAACAGTAGAGGCGAAAATCCCTCGGACGCGATCTGGATATGCGGCAAACCAGTTCTAAGGTGACGCAATTCGGATATCGAAAAAGCTTGTCCACGGTAGACGCTGTTCTTAAGTTACAAAAGTATATAACATCCTGCTTCGAAACAGAAGAAACAGCAGTCGTGACATTTCTTGATCTGTCGAAGGCTTTCGATTGCGTGTCACATAACATCCTTCTGGAAAAATTATCTGCGTATAAGATTGATGAAGAAAGTTGCAAATTACTAAAATCATATCTAGGGAATCGTCAACAGTTAGTTAAATTTAACAAAACATTTTCGGAACATCTGCCGATTTATCAAGAAGTACCCCAAGGTTCCATTTTAGGACCTCTCCTATTTTTAATTTTTGTGAACGATCTTCCAACTAACATAAACTCGGATTCAGTATTATACGCAGACGATACAACATTGTTGAACAAATTAATATCGGACGTAGCACCAGAAACGGTCAGTGCTGAAGCGCAGTCGGAAGCCTTTGATTGGTTCACAGCGAACAATCTTGTTCTGAATGTTGACAAATCAACTACGATGATTTTTTTTTACTTTGAAGAAAGTAGATATCCCTCGCAGCTTTCAATCGAACACTAACTTTCTGGGCTTTAGTTTGGACTCTAAACTCTCATGGGTTAGTCATGGAGAAAATACTGCAAAGAAAGTCAGCAAAAATATCTTCCTATTGCGACATTTGAAAGAAAATTTACCCAGAGAATATTTACGCAACATTTACTTCCCTTTATGTGAGTCACACTTGCTATATGGAATATTATTATGGGGACATACTAGTATACGTCATAGACTCTTTCAATTGCAAAGAATAGCAATTCGAATTGTTTCAAACTCAAAGTACAGAGAAGATTGCCGAGAACAATTTAGGAAGCTAAATATAATGACGCTACCTTCTTTGTACATTTTTACTTGCCTAAACTACTATAAAAAACATGAAAATGAATTTTCTGCCCATAGTGACTTTCATGAATACAACACAAGACATAAAAACAATTTGTGCCCGAAAGAAATAAGACTAAGGAAGTCCCAGAATGCGGTTAATTATTTCATTATAAAGTTTTATAATAAGATTCCACATTACCTTAAAAAATATAACTCAAAGAATTTTAATAAAGCAATAAAAAAATTGTTAATAAGCAGTGCCTACTACAGTTACGACGAATTTCTGGAAGACAAATCTATTGTGTAGTAAAATGTTTTGTTTTTATGTTGTTGGTATTTATTCACGTTGTATTTATCGTATTTTATAAATTTTACATTATATTTAATTATATAATATACTTTTCCCGACATGTACAAATATCCCGTCTGGGATGTAATGTATGAATAAAATTATTATTACTATTATTATACACTTTACACATATAGTAGCAAAACCTTTGATTAAGACATGTCCTGCGAATTGGTGGGAATGAATACAACATGTAATGAATATTGGTGTTACGGTTACTTTTCGCAAGCATGGACAATATTACGGTTACTGTGAGCGAACAATGATTATAATATTGTTACTTTTAACGAGCATTCACTTAAAACATTCTGTTTCATACCAAGGTTCCTTAATAGTGACTAGGTTAGTGCATACAGCGAGTTTGTGGACAGACCTGTTACAGAGGGAAGGGGGGGCCACCACTCGTGTAGCCGTGGTTACGTCGTGGATACAAACGTTTTGTCAACACAATGCCAGTTTCAACAAAATCGCTCTTGGAAAAAGTGACTAGATTTAAAATTAACCGCGTAGGAGGGACTTTCTACGTCATCAACATGTCTCTTCAAGGTCATGATACACCCTAACCTAATCACTATAAAGGGACCTTGGTTTCATACTAAACTGTCAATTAAGGGAAAACTATGAGTTCGGTTTCTAACCCGTAAAATTTTATTCTAAGATTTTGATTTATAACAGATTTGCCCTTTAGTTAAATTTTACAAATAAAATGGAATACAAATTTCAAACACATGTGACTTCGACACATTGTAGACTTGCAGCCTCTTTCGCTAACAGTGCTTGAATGTCTCTGATGTGAATCTAGAGTGAGTAACAAAAGCTGCCCACTCCACAAAGAAGGCAAATCTACGTTACAAAACTGCCATTCTTTCTGGCGCTAAATTTAAATTGAACCGGGACACTACACATTTAAATTAGATGTCATTTTCATTCCCCCAGCTAGTAGATCATGTCTTAACAAAATGTTTCATTAATCGGCGCTCTCGTAAAGTAACTGTTTAATGACGAACTGAAGGTTATAAATTAAAAGTTTTACAGCATCTGCTCTGAGGTATCGTCATAAAACTGTCAATGAGGATGATTACAAAAAGTTTCGTTAGCGTTTTACCATCTACGTGATATACATTATACATATATACAATTTGACAACAATCGGTCCAGTAGTTTCGGAGATTATCTGTCTAACAAAAATTGATACAGACGGTGGACAGATAGACAGGTAGATAGACAGACAGTTAGACGGACAGACAGACGGAAACGGGAAACCTATTTTTTCGTACTCGTAAATATGAAAGTAGTCAGTCGCCCGATAGATTCGATTACAATACTTTCTCAGCTTACGCTCGGGTAATAGAAATATAGAGATAATAAAATACTAGTCACAGCCCAACACATTGAGAAAAAAATAAACGGCTACGTTTGGCATTGAACAGATAAGTGCAGGGCCGCTTGCTCGTCTGAAGCTCACTCAGCCACAAAACTTGATATTCAACTTTACTCGTACGAGATTACTACACCTTGTAATTTTTTTTTGTAAAAATTTGTAGAACCTATTCTCCATTTTGTAAAACCCTTACGGGAAAAACTCAAAGCGGAATCGTACATCACAAGTATAGGAGTGAATATATTATTGTACAACAATTAAATCATTTTGAAGTAGAATTTTTTGAGATAATGTCATCAAATTGTTGATAGGAATGATTAGCCAAATTTTGATTAGCGATTTAACGTCTACATGATATTTCTGATATACATACAAAATTTTTCAACAATCTGTTCAGGATTTTCGGAAATTATTGATCAAATAAAAATGGGCCCAGACAGATAGACAGACAAATGAAAACGGGAGACCACTTTTTTATACTCTAGCGGTCATGAAAATTCGAGAAAACATGTAAGTTTAATTACTCATACAAAACTGAACTCACCCACAAGAAATACAACATTGCTCTTCCTTTTTTATGGTTCCCAGTGCCCTCACGACAAGTCTCGGTCCTTCTTGATAGAAAAAAGCGTTGGGGTAACAAGAATGATTAAATCCACTGAACAAAAAGTATAATCCGCGTGCGTAAGTAATCATTTCGTATCCCTCCACTGTAGGCTCTAGTCGATTTTGTAACCCGGTCTAGCCAGACCGGTGTGGGTCCCAACAATATTAATGTGAGAATAAACAAAATGATTGCTCTTACCTTTTCGATGGCGGCGTCGACACCAGGTCACATAATTCACTGTTGAAGCCGCGAACCGCAAAGAGGGGTTGTCAAAAAAACGGAAGAAAACTACAGAGTAGTTTCGACCAGCCTCCTTTATTATTCGCACACGTTTAGAAAGTTATTAAAACAAAACACAAAAACAAAGACAACCTTAACTACATGAACACAAACTGAATTTAAATTAAAAGCTGACAATTTAACACAAACCTACACAAAAACACAAAGATCAACCCGCAGGAGAAGTTCCCGACCGACCACTTCAGAACCGAAACAGTAACTAAATTTTTGGACAAAATTTTGAAGCCAAGTCGTACCTTCCTGATTAGAGGGGGTACTTCTCAGCCAACCACCTCCGTTCGGGGGCGGTTTCGCGCCGGGGGCTTTTTCCCACAGCTTTGACCTAAAAAGCGAGCAAGGACTTTGAGCGGGTGGTCTGTCGGCAAATTCGTCCAATTCATAGAAATATCCTTCCCGTACAATCGGCTTACAACAACAAACACAAGTTACAGATGTACTCTCCGCCCATTGTAAACGGTGAGAATTTCCTATCTCGAACCCTAATAAAAATTACCCCGCTTCGGAATTTGCTGGCCGATGTAAAACACGCCTCTACAAATCCGGAAGCGAGACAATCTGTCCGGCCGAAACTAAAGCTCTTTTCTCAAAAAACCCTATTACTATTAACAATTATCAAATCTACAATCAAGGAAAATCATCTACCTCTACGAATAAGTTCCGCGCAAAGACTGACATATCTGGTGCTCAATGGCTTCGATCAAGAACGTTTCAATTTTACAACTCTAAACGATGGGTTTCCACGTTATTGCTAGGGCCCATTGTACAGAGTGCATCAAACCGAAAACGTGCCCGGTCTATGGGGATTTTTGGGAAGTTGGGTACGGACGGATATTGCGGTGTAATTTCGGAATTTTGGGTAGTAAGATTGGACAGAGTAATAAACCATTATTCAACAGAAATGACATCTTCGTTTTCCCATCAGAAAAATGCGTCGGTTGCCTCTAATAAACGCGATGGTTTGCAAGTGTTACAATTTATTACAACCCCATTAATATGAACAACTTGTATGATCAAGGGCAACAAACCCTTAAACATCTCCTCCATGCCCTCCAAATCATTAAACAAATCCGTGTGTTTTTTCAGTAGAACATAAATTATACTAGAAACCCATGCAATAGTAAAGTGCATCCTCAATGACAGCGAATTAGTGTGGGCCTCCATTTTTATAATTTCTTCAAGGTCATGTGACTTGTTCTGACGGAACTGGATTAATACTAATAAAGTTATTTTAAGGCCCAAGGCGAGGCCGTCTTTGATGGATTCTAGGCGATCAAGTACGTCAGACAGGCAACATTCATATTTGTGCGTTTTACTAGCTACAAATTTGCAATATGTGCTACAGTAGAGAGCTTTAGCACATGCGTCGCACGATATTAAGTTATAGCATACTTTTAAACATTCTGAGCAGTAAATGTAGTTGTCTTGTAGCAGTACTGCAGTGTACGGTTTATCGACGAGTACGACTTCGCCGATTTCAATATCTCGTGTGGTCGTTACGTGTCTACCAAACTTGTTGTCAGTGTGGATTTTGAAGGAAGTATTATCACATGCAGTTGCCTGTTCATGATAGTTTGGGTATGTAAGTACTTGCGTTTTACGGTTGGAGTTTTGTTTTTTGATGACTTGTGAGCGTCGAAGTGCCAGTTGGTGGGTAAATTCCTGCGAATAGTCGTTATAAAACGCTCTTTCAAGGTCCTAGAATATTTGGATGAAGTGTGAAAACAGAACAATTACTAGGTACTCACAACTAAACATTCTTGATCCAAGCCAACTTTTGCCAATACTGCGGATCGACCAGAATAAGCTAAGGCTGTGATTCTTTTGCTTTTGGCCCAGGCTATGGCTGCGGTATAGCTCTCAAGCGCTTCTACATACCTATTCTGTTTGAAATGAACGTTGCCACGTTTTCGTATTTCTGTCGAATTTGAATCGTTTTTGTTGCTTGTCAGCACTGCCTCTTCGTACATTTCCCACTGGATATTCTGGTTGAGCAATAAGTTTACCCTTTGGAGGTTACATGTACACTTTTCGAAACTATATTTTACTTGTTGGAAGATAGTTTCCATCTCATCCATTTTGGGGGTAATGATAAATTCAACTATGGTTAATTATGGTCGTTTTGATCATGTGATGGAAAATTTACATAACAACGCGTTTTTTTTATAATGGTTTGAAATATTCCACAACTGCGGCTGTTAATTCTAATTATTTCCCAAAAGCAGGATCGCCAACAGTTGTCAACGTCAGACGTTAAAAAGAGGAGTAACAAAAAGGAAATTTTTGCGTGAAACCAGCATAAATGGGTAAGGTTAGACCGAGTTAGATACGGTTACGTAACATTGAGCTGTAATAGTATAACTGGTGAGGGAGAGGGAATAGCAAAGTCCCTACTCCCTTTAAACATAAGACGAAATGGCAGCCATATATACTAACTAGCCAATAACACGTGACGTCACGCTGTGGCGGGAACTCAGCGTTTGACAAGCGCCGTGAAACTCCATAAGTGACAATGTTAACATTTTCGCATTTTATTTAAAAGTGTGGGTATTTATCTAGAAAATAAACACGTGGATATCTTCTTTCATATCTTTTCTGTGTATCAGGGTGCTTTTTTGGCGATTTGAGTTTAAAAAACCATAATAAAAATAAAAATACAGAACGCTGTTTTGGTTTGAATTCCTCGTCACCCAAAATACATCCGTGTGTTTTAAGCGGTAAATCGGAAATTAATATTTTCTTTTGAAGTTAATGTGACGGGTTTAAGTGAAGGTGTGTGATTTGTTTTTAAAGTGTGGATAATTTAAGTGATTATGCACGATGTCTTTCCGTCAAAGAGAAAAGCAGATATGTACAAAAGTTAAACAATTTAAACGGCGTAGATCCTTATACAATGAGTGCAAGTGATTTTAATTTGTATTTAGACGATTTGCCTACCATAACAACGAATACCATTCTAAACTTTTTTATTTTTGGAATAAGTAAAATAACCCACAATGAAATTCGTGCATTCAAAACTCTAGAGGCATTTATTCAGTTTTCTCTTTTTTAAATGAATGTGTCTTTCAACATTACAACTATTATGAGTGGATTTATTTTGATATCCTAAATTTTATGATGAAACATAATCAGGATGCTCCACATCCGACAAATCTGCAGGTTTACCTAAAAGAGCACCAATGTAGTAATTTGTTAGAAACTGTAAATCTAATAGGTAGTTACTGTACCTAAAATAAAATGATCCGAACAAACATAGGAATACTTTAATTTGGCTTCGTTAAATCCACCCGTTTCACGGCTTTTAACCAAAGCTTCCGCCTTTTTTCCCCATCCTGTATATATTTACCTTTATTGTTGCTAATTGCTGAGAAAGGAAAATAAAATTTGTCCGCATTTCTGGTGCTTCGATTCGCGCAACCCACAACAGCATAAAATTTAGGCATTTTCTCCTAAAATACAAAATATTATAATATTAAGATGCTAGTGTATTTAAAAAACATTGATGTACATTAATAAAGAATTAATTTGCAAAACAAATAATATAAGATGCAGCGAAGTTAACCTGTACATCACAATGGAAAATATCATTTTTTAAGCATATTCAAACGTTATGGTGCGTTTTACAGATATCTACACAGTCTAGAAACTGTAACAAACTTACCAGACTATAAAAACACAGTTGACACACTCTCAAATTTAAATGAATTCCGAAAATATTAGCATTGACTCTTCTGAGAAAACCGGCAAGTTGTCAAACGCTGCCATCTTGATGACCTCGGATGACGTCAGTGTATTTGGCTAACTAGCTGACCCGGCCACGCGTTGCTGTGGCTAAAGTTTTTGTTATATTACATTATAGTAAACAATCTAAGAGGAACAATAAGAGAACATCAGTCACGGAGTCCATGGGCGCCCATAGAAACCTTTCTCAGGGGGGTCCACCCTGAAATTTTTGTAATATACTCTGTTCTTGTATATATAAATAATATAATGATATAAATCTTTACTATTATAAATATATATTTTAATCATCAACTACGTTAATCAAATCTACTCGCAAATAACCCTACAACATCATTATTCTTATTATTAACAAAACAGTGTAAAATATTAAAATTAAAAAGTTATAAAAATATAAAATTAATCAAAAGCAAATTGCTAATTTCTTTTTTCTTGGCCAAAATCGTCAATTACTCTACCAACAGATGTTTCTTCGGCATTAACTCTCTCTCTCTCTCAAATACTACTGTCAAGTTTTTTTATTTTTACAAAATCCTGCCAATTTTGGATTTCGTCTGATAAATTGTCAGTGGAGTAAAATTCGCCCAACCCTTTAAAGCAACTTGGTTTTAAGTTATGTACATTCTTTGGATGTAAGGAAAATAATGAGTATGATGAGATGACACTTTTGTTTCGGAAAATCATGTCGTTAAGGAAAGAATGAAATGATCCAGGTATGAAATAAAAGTGTCAAAACAATTTTCTATGCTATCTGTGTTGTACTTCGCACGCCCACTGGTGAAACAGTTCTGGAGCAACCGAAATTTCCACTCGAAATCGATAGCTACTCTGAAAACCCGCCATCAGTAGTAATAAATAACACCACTTATTTTATACTTCTTATTAGCTGAAGAATCATCATCAATTTTTGTAATTTTTCTCTTGAAGAAATTTGAAATATCCATATTTCTTTGTTTTTAAATGAAATATTAAATTTAAAATTTAAAAAGACATTTAATCAAGAGTACTTACGCTTGTATTTTGAAATAAATAAATAATAAAAAGTATAGTCAACAAAACGCCGGTTTAACAACTGTTCGTCTTTACACGTCACTTCGCCACAGATAAAAAGTGAAAACGGAATGAATTTTTGGACGTAAGCAATAAAATGTTTGCTCTTGTGTTGTAATAACTGTAAAAAGCAAATAACGAAACGACCCATAATTCAGTACCGGTTAAAAGGGATAGATTTATGATGTTTCCAGGCAAATCTGGACCGAACAGAGGGTTTCAAAACCAGATGGTCTAAGTTTGTCACATTTCTGTGTTTGTGTGGCCATAAAACTGAAAGTGTGGGGTATGTATCTTCTCTTACAAATGTGCTGAAGTTTAATTTTGACAAATAAAAAGGAAATTGACGCAGAATCTCAGGGGGGGGCATCGCACCCCCTGCCCCCCCCCCTATGGGCGCCCATGACGGAGTCCACTATGCTTTTTCACACAGATGGTATTTGTAAAAAAATATGGTGATCTCCTTATTTGACTTTCTAGTACTATAACCCTTTAGTACAATGAAATTATTTACGAACAAAGACGAAAATGTTGATGTTGGTATACAAATTCACTGGATTGAGATTTGAAGGGGAAGTACGTTGAACACAATTAATTAAAATGTTCTTACACTTGATATTAAGCAGAAATCAATAGGTACAAAATAAAAATTGAATTGAAATACTAATTTAATCGTTTAAATATAAAAAAAAAATCTGAAAAACTTGTTATCATAGCACATTGAAATAATAAGTGCTAAATATTTTTTAATAGAGGTTAAATAAAAACAATAAAAAAAAATATTTGTACAACTATTGAAAAAGTGTAGGAAATTGTGTATCATTTTTGCATTGACATTTTAATTAAATTTTATAATTATGTGATAATACTTACATACATATATTCAAATTAAATTATAAAGTTTTGATCAATGAAGCACAAATAAGTAAAAAACAGGATTAATTTCACTGTATTATCTTCATTATAATATGAATTCAATTTACACTTCAGTCTAAGTAACACGTGGCCGGCTATGCTAACACCAAAAATTTAAAAAGTGGAAATAATTGAATTATACGGTATTTCGTTCACTACAAAATAAATTTAATTAATTTTATAGCGTCAACAACACGTGGTAATTATGCTGTTAAAATGTAGCTTATATGACACGTTCGTAGATTTACCATAGCAGCGCCATCTATTGATTACTTACTCAACCCAGTCGAAAGGTATCGACATCTGTTAGAATCATTTGGAGTTAACAGATAATTGTGACTGTCAAATAATAACAGACAAATAATTAGCAATAAATTAAAATTGCGACTATAATTTTATAGCGTCAACAACACGTGGTAATTATGCTGTTAAAATGTAGCTTATATGACACGTTCGTAGATTTACCATAGCAGCGCCATCTATTGATTACTCACTCAACCCAGTCGAAAGGTATCGACATCTGTTAGAATCATTTGGAGTTAACAGATAATTGTGACTGTCAAATAATAACAGACAAATAATTAGCAATAAATTAAAATTGCGACTATAATTTGAGATTTAAACTATCCTATCTCTTAAGTTGGATCGAACTGCACATGGTGTGCGAATTTTATTATAATCGGTTAAGTGGTTTAGGAGTCCATTGAGGACAAACATTGTGACACGAGATTTATATATATTAAGATTAAGATATATACTAATGCACATAATTACCATTTCATTGAAAGTTCAACTTACTACTTGGTAAAAAAAATTGGTCTAAAGAGTTTAGACAGTACTTCCCTCGCTTTTAGAACCGAGTCTTTATGTCTGTCATAGATTCTTCTCATTAGAGTTCTGTAATGAGATATTTCAATAAATTCGCTTTCACACTGGAAGTCACGGCTCGTTCTTAATTTGATCAATAATAACTTGACTGATTTATTATTTTTTTTGAGTCACCCTGTATAAGCAGATCTAAAAAAAATGAATGCAATGACAAATTACAAGTATAGTCTGATCATCTTTTGCACATTTTCGAAAGAATTTATTCAGCAAAATTCTGAGGTGACGTAACCAACTTTTTGGGGTTGATAAACAGATACATTTTGATTAAAAAGTTAAGATTCTTACAATAATTTCAAAACGTCTGCAAGATTTCACGTATTCAGTTCTGCAACTCTTGATTTAATCAATAAAATAAATTGACTCAGACATAATGACCAGAGACATTTTGGTTAGCGTTTTACCATCTACATGATATTCTTAATATAAGTACAAAATTTCACAACAATCGGTCGAGTACTTTCGGAGATAATAAAACTCCGGGAGG